CTTGCTGTGACCAAATACCTGACCAGAAGCTACATAATGGAGAGGTTTATTTTAGCCCCGTTTGGGAGTATAGAACATCAGGGCAGGGACAGGAATGACATTGTGGCAGGAGCAGCTCCAGCTGTTGAAGCAGGAAGACAATGCTGCAACAGCTGGAAATATCAGGAAGCAGAGAGGAGACAGTGTAGCCGTAAGTTTTCTCAGGTCCTGCCCAGCCCTGCAGTCCCTCAGCCACTTACAAAATAATCATTCAGAGGCTTAATATTAATTATCAACTGTATGGCCTATGGCAGGCTCTTACTAGCTAGCTGTTATATCTTAAATTAACTTATTTCTGTTAATCTATGTATTGCCATGTGGCCATGGCATTACCAGTCTTCTGGGATGTTGCTTCTTGAGCTCTAGGCTGGCGTCTCTCCCTCCTCTCCTTTCTTCTTTCCCTATAGCTGCTTGTATTTCCCACCTGCCTCTAAGCGGCCTTGTCATAGACCAATGCAGCTTTATTTATCAACCAATCAGAGCAACATATATTCATAGCGTACAGAAAGACTTCCCACAGCAAGACAGGAAGTGGGCAGAGCTACAGATCTCAAGGTTTACCCACAAGTTTTCTCACTGGGCCTCACCTCTCAAAGGTTCCCTGAAACCCCAAGACAATGCCACCAGGTGAGGACCAAGTGTTCAATCACAATCAGCTTGTGGAGACATTATACATCTTAAACCATAACAATAAGGTATATAAAGGGTTATATCCATTAATTACAGACTTCCTGTCCCATATTATTGCCCTGTCTTTCTACATGCATGAATGTCCTATGCATATGCAAGTATTATATATGGAATCTTAATTGCATTAATATTTATATTTCTTTTTGCCACAGATTACACAGAACATTTTTTTTATAGAATTTGCTTTTGCTGTTTTTTATCTTTATTTTTTTAATTTTAAAAAATATTGTGTTTTGGTGTATAATATGTGTGAGTGTGGGCACAGATAGGCTATGACAAGTGTGGACACCAGAGACCAGCTTTTGAAAGTGAATTTCTCCTTCCACTGAAGCTTTCTGGGTTCAAATTCAAGTGGTCAGGCTTACACAGTGTGTGATTTTACTCACTGAGCCATCTTGCTGGCCTTGGCTTTTATTTTGTGATTTATTTTAGCTAATTAATTAATTAATTAAATTTAGTTTTGAGGCAGGGTCTTACTTTGTAGCCCAAGTTGGCTTCAGACTCACAAAACTCTACTTGCCTTTGCTTTCCAAGGGTTGGAATTAAAGGCAAGCACCACCATGCCCATCAACATTTTTCCTTTTTTTCCCCCTTTGTTCTGTTCTGTTTTTTGTTTTGTTTTGTTTTTCAAGATAGGGTTTCTCTGTATAGCCTTGGCCGTCCTAGAACTTGCTTTGTAGATCAGGCTAGCCTGGAACTCATAGAAATCCACCTGCCTCTCTTTCCTGAATGCTGGGATTAAAGGCACATGCCACCATGCCCAACCTCATTTTTCATTTTATTGCAGTTTGTCTTAGAAAATATTCCATATTCCATACAACCACAGGAAGGACTCTGTTTATTTGTGCTACCAATGTGTTTTCCTTTTATAAATTGGATGGATCTCTAGTAATAGAAGTGGTAGATTAACCCATAGGTGGTTTTTTTTATTATATTTAAAACACTGTTGCATTCTGAAAAACGAGTACATTCTCAAGTTACAGATATAGAAGTTGCATGAGTATTTAGAAAAAAAGTAACCCCCTTGAATATAATCGTCTGAAAGCCACTCAATTCCCATTCCTGCCTGGGACTTCGGGCATCAGCTGGTCTAATCCGCACCTAGAAACATGATGCTCACTCGGGTCAGCCTCTCCTTTTTCTCATCCACACCCTCTATCATGGCCATGGCTGCATGTCAACACATGGAGAAATGCTTCTCTGTTCCAGCGGGACAGCGTTTGTCGAGGCTCACACATACTTGAGGGACCCCTCTTTGGCAGATTTTTGGATCACCAGAGTCTTCAGCAAGGTCAAACAGTGTAAACCACATGTAACATCATTTGGAAAAACTACAAACAGGCCCAAAGGAGGACATATGTCTAGTAATAAAACTATTTACACAAAAGGTAGATAGATTTCAAATAAATTTATCCATTTACATCCCTAACAGGATGTATGAGTGACTGTTTCCTAACATGTCCCCTTACCAGACACATATAATATACTAAGAAATTTTCTTATCTTTATTAGTCTGGCGTGTTAAATGGTATTTTAATCTAAGCATATCTACTGATGGGTAATCATCATATTTAATATGTTTAAAATCAATGTTTATAATTTTTATGATATGACTAGATTCTTTATCTTTATTTGTTTGCTGTTCTCATTCTCATTGATTTGTGGGAGGTTTTATGTGAATTATAAATTATAATTTGCCATTTGTCTTCTGCCTCTGTTATTTGTTTCATCATGCAGAAAAAAAGAGGTTTGTTTTTTTAAATAGTTTAGCACTTTTTGAAATTAAAGGTTTTATATCAGACTTAGAATTTATTCAATTGCAGATTATTATATATTAGGTCTTCATGGTATTGTATTAAATCTTCATAAATTCAAAATCATTTATGTATTTATTTGTGTGGGGGCATTCTATGCCACAGCACAAGTGTGGGAGCCAGAGGACAACTTTAGGAAGTCATTTTCCTCTTCCACCGTGTGGGTCTCAAGGATCAGCCTCGGGTCACCAGACTTGACAGCATCTCACTGACCCTTTATAGGTATTGCATTTGAAACGTCATAATTATCGACAAATTGTCCTGGAAGGAGATTCTGCAAAGCCCGACTTCCAAGCACAGGATATGTTTATTATTCAAAGTGTCTGCTTTCCACTGCCTTAGTGCTCTAGTGCTGTGAAGAGACACCATGACCAAGGCAACTTATTAAAGAAAGCATCTGACTGGGGGCTTGCTTACAGTTTCAGAGGGTGAGTCCAATACCACCATGGCAGGAAGCCTGGTAACAGGCAGGCAGGCATGGCACTGGAGAAGTAGCTAAGAACTTACATCTGATCCCTAAGCATATAGCAGAGAGAGCAAGACTGGGCCCAGTGCAGGCTTTTGGAACCTCAAAGCCCACTCCCAGTGACATACCTTCTTCAAAAAGGCCATTGTGAGAGGCCAGCTCCCACCGTTTAAAGGGTTCCTATGAGAGGAGAGAGGAATAAGAAACTTTTAGATAGAAAGATAGCAAAGAGGAGAAAGACAGAAACACAGGATAGCTTCGGGAGGACCTGGATCAAAACCCAATGGTCCCTTCTGCCTCTTCAAAAGGGCTTTTTATAACAATGCCAAGGGGCAGGGCAAAAGACCTCCTCCTTGCTAGATCAAAGCACACTGCACAGCCAAGTGTAGACCCTTCCACACACATGGTAACCACGCCCATGGTCCAATCATTCCCCTATGCAGCCCTGCTGGGTAAAGCAAGCTCAGGTTGTCAGACCCTGAGTAAGTTCTCACTAGGAAACTTCTGTGGGTCTCTACATGCCATACCTCCTAATCCTTCAAATATATGAGCCTATAGGATCCATTCTCATTCAAACCACCACACTTGTCCCTATATGTTATCCATTCCCTCCTAAGTCCCAGCATCCATCAACACAAAGCTGAATTCCATTGGGTGTATGTTCAGTCTTGGTACCAAGTGCAAGGTTGCATGCAGAACAACCAGCAGGCTTTTCCCTTTTACATGGAATCATTCACAGCCAGAAAGACATGGCCATGTCACCTCTCTGCTCACCACTGCCTCACAGAAAGATGTCCTAAGAGATGGGTCACAGAGTCTCTGAGAACACATCTTTTGAAGCAAAATTAGAAATCATGTTATTTATGGGTTTGGAAATATGAATATCTTCAAAGCACAACAGCAAAACATTTTTTAACCCAACTTCACAAACCTCCTTTACTGTGGTGATTTTCTAGGACATACTTCAGAAAGTCAAAGATGCTGTGAATTAGGAAGCCCGAGGAAAAGCATTAATTCCTGAAGTTCAGATTGCTGGAGGAAGTGGAGGAGTCAAAGGGGAAGGCTTTTCCACAGAGAAAATGCTTTCAACAACTACGTGAAGTGGCTGTTCTGGAGACAAGACCTTGAGTGGCTACTATATGGATTCCTATTAAATATGAACCTGTCGGCACAGGCCTCTCAAAAAACTAATGTCTCCACTGTAGCCTGCTGTCCACATGCTCATCTGGAAAGTCAAGTCATTCAAGTAGAAAGGAATAAATTGATTGAAGAGGAAGCAGTATTTAAATCTTTCTGACACTGGCGAGTGGAGTGTAGGAATCACAAGTCTCTGACTTCCTGGTGTTCTTAGGATGTAGTCAATCCCATCCCTTGAGGGACTGGCATGCTATGCCAGGTCTAGTGAATCACTGTGTGATAGTATTTGACTATGCAGATGACGTGAGGTCAAGAATGGACATGTGATCCAGATCTCGGCTAATGAGATCCCATCCTGGAACTATTGCTTGAATTGTGAGGCAAGAGCATCCTCTCCTAGCTGGATTAGCAAACCTGAGAGGATACAGTTAGAGACAGATTGAGAAGAAACCAACTGTAAGGGGGAACATGATCTGTATGATACACTGAAATTAAGTGGGTGCTAAAGATTTGTTGTGATTCCCTAGAACTAGCTATGGCAGAAAGCAGGTGAACACATTAATCCCTGAACCACTGTAAAAACTGGAATATAATCTTATACTGGCCCCCTGAATGCTAACAGGAGTTGGTTTATGGTCACTTCCAACTGATAAGAGCACAAATTTGCATCACAGAACTACATAACACAAAGGAAGAAAGAAGGATTCTCTGGAAGATTTCTTTCCATGTTCCAAATCAATCAAACCAACCACAAAACCAGGGAATCGGTGATGTTTTCTACCACCCAATTTAGCAACAGTGAGTAGACTGTCATTGATTTTTGCTTATAATCTCCCACTTGAATCTCTTTCCAGCTTTCCTTTCCTGAAAATTCCAATGGAGGTGTCCCTACATTCACTCTACTAGGATGCAGACAATGTACATAAACAAGGCATTTTCTGAGACTTAACTTGAAATTCAAAGTCAAGACTGCAGTACAAGTGGGATTCCATGTCACACGTCCTTGACCTTGCAGGGCAGACAAGAGTGAAGGCTTCATGCTCAGTGGATCATATAAGAAGACAACTTAAGAAGGAATTCAGGGACAGTGAAAGTCCCTTTAAAGAGATTCCTGGAAAAGTTTCTAGACCTAACTTCTCTGAGAAGTTATAAGGGAATCCTTATTTGTTAAAAATCAGCTCTGTTTAAAAATATCAACAACAATAAATGTTTAAGATCAATGGTTCTCAAATATGCTTGTTTATCAGAATCATTCGGAGAGATGAAATGTGCACAATTTCCAGATTTTTCCATCTAACCATCCTTCTAGCTGCAGGGTTAAAAGTCATGCTGTTTGTATAGGGGTCTGTGTGTCTACATGTGTCTGTGTAGCTGTGTGTGTGTGTGTGTGTGTGTGTGTGTGTGTGTGTGTGTGTGTATGCATATTTTAAAGTACTATATACATGAATGTTCCTTATTTGTATCATTATCTTATTAAATTTTCACAGTAACCCCATGGTGTAGGTACTTCTAGGCTATGGAACAGATACAATTTTATACCTATTTTATAGATTGGAAATACAATGTTTAAGGTGTGGTGGCCCATGCCTTGAATCCCAGCACTCAGGAGGCAGAGGCAAGCAGATCACAAAATGACTTTTTGTTGCTACTTCATATCCGTACTTTTGCTACTGTTATGAATTGTAATGTAAATATTTTTTTGGAGAGGGAGGTTTGCCAAAAGGGTCATGACCCAGAGGTTGAGAACCGCTGCTGTAACTCACTGAGCCAGCTTGTGCCGCTCCTGTAGTCCTTGGTGTGGCGCCATCCTCCGGGGCACGATTGACAATGACCACACCCCTGAAGGAAACAGAGGCTCCCTCACCCTGATCTGCCATCAATAGCTCCTCAGTTCTGGGAGCTCATCCTCCCCCCCCACACACACCCACCCAGCCAGAATGTTGACTGGCTTGATCATGTGCACACAACCACAGCTGTTGTGAGTCCACGAACACAATGACCCCGTCGTGTCCAGAAGACACGGTGTCTCTCCCGTCCTCTTACACTTTTTCTGACGTTATCTGTGACAGCCCTGAGACTTGGGGAAGAAGTCCGACACAGATGTCCCACTTATTGTCTGCACTCCAACCACGTGTGAGTTTCTATGTTAACCTCCATCTGCTGCACAGAGAAACATCTCTGTTGTGGTCTGAGTGCTTCACTAAGAGCACAGGAATATGACTTCAGAGGGCAAGTTGATACAATGTCCATTTAGCGAACTAATAATAGTAAGTTTAATTGGGAGCCTATGAGCTCCCCAACCATAGGTTCTTGGTCAGATTTATCGTATCAAGCATGTGTTGTCTCTTGTGGAGTGAACCGATCAGAAATCCAAGTAGAAAGTAGTTGATTATCCCCATAAAATTCATGCCACTAATGTACCCAAAATAGCATCTTGTTATCCTGGTCATTAGCTTCCTGGTCAGAACGAGCTTCATTTCTCCATGTCCTGTGACTGAGGTGTGTGGAGTCTTCAGCATTAGGGTCTTACTATCATGAGCTCTTGCGCCCAGAGCCACCTGAGTCTTGAAAAAACACCAAAGATACACTCTGAAGAAAAAAACAGCATAGGAAACTAGATATCTACGTGTATAAAAATGAAATGATTCCTCTCTCTCATCCTGCATTCCAATAATTGTAAGTGGATCAAAGATTTTAATGTTGGAGCTGAAACTATGAAACTTTCAGAAAAAAAGGGATTATACTTTAGGTGACAGGCTCAGCTAAAAACTGAATAGGACCCTGCTCACCCAGGAAACTGAATCAACAATCAATGTAGTTGGTTTTTTTACTCTTTGCTCTTAGGGGCCTACTACTCAGCTCCCAAATAAATGTATTACATGGAGACTTATTCTTACTTATGAATGCCCAGCCTTAGCTTGGCTCGTTTCTAGCCAGCTTTTCTTAAATTATCCCATCTACCTTTTGCCTCTGGGCTTTTATCCTTCTCTATTCTATATTTCTTTCTTTCCTTCCTACTCTGTGGCTGGCTGGGTGGCTGGGTGGTTGGCTTCTGGCATCTTCTCTCCTTCTCCTTTTCTCACTGCTCCCTCTTCTTTTTCTCCTCCTCCGATTTATTCTCTCTCTCTGGCAGCCCCACCTATCCTCTCTCTCCTGCCTAGCTAACGGCTGTTGGTGGACAGAAGTGGAAAACATACTGAGTGACGTAACCCAAACCCATAAAGACAAACACCGCATGTTCTCACTCCTACATAGATCCTAGCATTGATTCAGATCTGTGTGTTCAACCTGGACTACCTATGAATTCAAGGAAACTGGAAAGGGACCAGTGGTGGGTGAAGAAAGATCTTTATTGAACAGAGATAGCAGAAGTCATGTGATGTGGGGGCAAAGGAGAGAATAAAGGGAGGGAGGTCTAGAGGGGAAAGGGTGGGGAGGGTAGAGCAGAGGAGGGGTTAGGAAGGAGAGATAACTAACACTAAAGGTGGCTGAAAATCCATATGAAAACTTACTATTTCATAGCTCTGTGTGTGTGTGTGTGTGTGTGTGTGTGTGTGTGTGTGTGTGTGTGTGTGTACAAGTGTGTGTGTTCACACAGAAGGATTTAACTGGGGAAACTCTACAGAGGGCATGGTGTTCACACAGAAGCCATAGTTTGCCAAACAAAAACTTTGGCAGTGCCAAGTATCGGACAGGTCTCTCTCTTCATATTGTTGGGCACAGGTATCTTCAAGCCCTCCCCCCGCCCAGATAATACAGGCTATTTCCATTGCCTTTTCTTTACTTTCAAACCAATTACCAAAACCCAAATGTCTGCCAGTGCTGCGGTGCCCGTGGATGATGTATAAAATCAGTAACCAAACTTCTTATCTTTTGAAACCAGGGGGGTAATGATATTTTCAAAGGAAAACGGTGTGCCCAAATAAAAATGTGCAGTATAGACAGTACTATTTGACACTCAGAATCTAATTTAGGAAAGAAGAAAAGAAAGAGAAAAAAGAAGGCAGGCAGGCAGGGAGGGAGAGGGGGAAGAATGTAGGGATACAGGGAGAAAGGGAAGGAGCTGTTGTCCATGTATTGAAAAGTTTACCTACAAGAGACTTTAACTTCTGTTATAAGCACGATCACCAAGGCACCTGTTCCTTTAATAGCTGACTCAAGTCATAACAGATGCATCAAAATCATAATTGCCTTCCTCATTAGAAACAGAAAAGAGGTATTCCAAAGAGGCCACATAATGTTTCTTTGGGGTACAAATTAAAAGGTGCTTAAAGTTCTCCATTTCCACTCAACAATTTAGCTACAATTATTGTTCTACGTGCTGATGGATGGGTCCAGAAAAGGCCATCCTACAGGCCTCATGTCATCAGCTGACCCAGGAAGGATCAGCAAAAGGGGATTTCTAGTCTGTCAATTATACAAGCCTTTGTTTCCTCTTGTTCCCACTAACCCCAGATAAACAGCAACAAAAATGTATCTTAATGAATTCAACTTTCATCAACTCCTCTACCAGAGGGAGGTAGAACTCAAGGAAAATCCAAAACCTTTTTCAGAAGTGGGTAGGCTAGAGACCAACAATGATCTACATTAGAAGACACATAGTATTCTGAAGAAAAGACAGCATTGAGGAATAAAAAAAGCTGTTGTGTGAGTATTTGTAGAGGGCAGCTTTGGGAATCTCCCTTCACATTAGGAAACAAACATGATTCTCTCATCCTTGTTTCTTCCTGGTTCCGGGTTGTTTTACTGACTCTGCGGCACACTCAGGGGCACAGAGTGGTCATAGAATCAGGCAAGCCTCGGGACACCCTGAAGATTCTGGCTAACACAATTCTGCACCAGGTGTGTACATACGCAGATCTTAGTCCTTCAACTCCCACCATCAGAATCTCTTATGACACTGATAGGCTTCTGGAGTATTCTAACGACCTGCATCTGAAACTGCGCTGCCTGGCAGCCTCTAAAAACTGCTGCAAAATGTCCCGCTGATCAGTACTAAAAAACAAATGGGGAAAAAAAATCAGTCTCATAATGAAACAGTGATGCTTGACTTTCTGGCTTGGTCAAGTTATTTATTTATTTGTGCTAGGGATGGACACACACACACACACACACACACACACACACACACACACGCACGCACGCACGCACGCACGCACGCACGCACGCACGCACGGGCACACGCGCTTTTATTTGTCCCTCAGCAACTCCTGATGGTAGCAGCTTTGTCAGCATCTCTTACAGACACATAGCAGGTTGGTTCTCTGTGCAGGTCTTCCCATTTTGCATTCACACTCACCCTAATTTATGGGAGCAGAAACCCTTTAGATTCTCTGAGTAACAGAAGAGTGATCGGGACAGCCATTTACTTAACCACTCTTCCTATTCACTCTATGAACCCCGACTAGAGGTCAGTCCCTGTGTACACATGAAAGGACAATTCATTTCAGTTTACTTCCCATCATCTAGCATTGATGAAGAATACCACATGCAACATGATCAAGAGCTTAGGAGACAGGAGGAAGAGGTAAGACTTGATCTGAAAAAAATGAAAAGATGGCTTGGCGCGGGGTGGTGGTGGTGGCGGCGGCGGCAGAGGCGGCGCACACCTTTAATCCCAGCACTCAAGAGGCAGAGGCAGGCGGATCTCTGTGATTTTGAGGACAGCGTGGGCTACAGAGTGAGTTCCAGGAAAGGTACCAAAGCTACACAGAAAAACCCTGTCTCGGGGAAGTGGGGGGGTGGGGGGGAAGAGATGGCTTGGGCGTGTGTAGAGGACTTTCCTAGCACAAAGCCCAGGGTTCGACCAACAGCACTGTGTCAACCAGAGACTGAGGTTAGCTCTGTAATCCTAGCACTCTGGGCATAGAGGTAAGAGGACTAGAAGCTTAAGGTCATCCTTTGGCCACACAGTGAGTTCAAGGCAAAGCCTGAGAGACATGAGACCCAACCTTAAATAATAATATTAATAATGTATTTTTTCAAGTTTTTACAAAGAATAAAAACAAAATAAATTTGTCAGATTGGGAAGATCAAGAGAGAAAAATATTCCAGCTAAATGTTTTAAAAAGCATCATGTTGCTGGGGTACAAAAAGCACTTAGTAGGGCTAAGCACAAGCCACACACAGGGCATGTTGGGAGTCAGTACTCTGAATGAAGCCAGTGGCTGAGTCTGGCTGACCTCTCTGGCACACTAAGGAATTTGAATGTTACCTTGCAGAGAGTTTCAAACAAGTCAGAGATGAACTCAGACACATTGTATGTTGTCAGTATTACCTCTAAGAAGAAGAAAGAAGATAAACACAAAAATTGGTTATTCTGTGCCATAAGACATTTCCTTGAGGTACAAAGAAGTATTTACAGACAGCAACATTTGCTAAATATTGGAAAGGGCTTCTGAGAGAGGTTGGCGAGTCACCTCAGGAGGTCTTTAAGAATAGACCAAATTATAATTTGTCTTAGAAGCCTCGGATGTGATTATCCGTTAGGGCAAAGGAACTGACTCCGAGTCTCTTCTGGAATTACAGCTCCATTGTTCACAGACTATCAGGGTGCACAGAGCTGTGCATTGCTTAGCAATTTGTACTTGATCCTATGGTTGCAGATTGATTACAAGATCACAGAAGCAGGATGCTCACTGTAGAATTATGGGCAGAGTGAACGCTGGATGGATGGGAAGCAATCTCCCCGTGATGGAGCAACCTGGCTTTAAAATTAGGTACATTTTCCTTTCACTGTGGCATAAGCCTGGGAGGTGACCTTCATGTAATTCTATTTTTTGTAGGGTTATCTGAACACGAGAGCAGGTACTATCAGGGCTGGGCAGATACAATAATGATCTATAGTAGAAAGCCAGGAACTCATCCTAGATTAACTCAGTATGTAGGGTGCTTTGCGTCATTGCTCAGGAAATTAGTTAAAGCTAGCTATTACTAAAGGTGCCCTCGGAGACTATTAATAACACCCAGAAATGCCAAAGCTTCAGAGCTTAGAAAGTACGTTCCTGCATGTTTCCTTGGCTGCTTCTCCCCAAAACACTGAAGTAAGGTTTTCACAACTTAGAATGCTGGGGCTGGGAGCTGCAAAAACCTACCCCCATTTATATGGCTGTGAGGTTGCATAGTCTCAACTTAGCCTCTCCCAGAAATGCTTCCTCCGAATAGTTCACATAAGCTCTCCAAAGGGAGGAGGCGAGCATTTGAAAGAAATCCAGAAGCAAGGCAAAATGATTCTATATAAAATGATCCCCAGAAATGAGAGCTGGTAGCATGGTCCGGGTCAAGAACGACTCCAAAGTCAGTTGCCAGTTTGCAAAAGCCTGCTCTGTAAATAGCCTTCGAACTAAGAAAACGTCTCTCTAAAATGCTGACAACACATTAAGAGAGGTTAAAAAACAAAACACAAACACAATTAAGCCACCCTAAGTGACAGCGCTGAGGCCACATCACACCGGCAATATAACACTGGTCTAACATTTTCATTAAACTACATATAAGAACCAATTTCCAGGCCTAAAAGACCATTGACTATAAAGAGATACACTCTTACCTTAGGACCTACTAAGAAAGGAGAAAATCACTACCAATTAATCTGCAAAACACTTGATTTTTTACGGCGTCACAATTCCACCAGTGAGGGAAGAGGAAAGAATTCTACATTTTAGAATGCAGGAAGCATATTAACTGGAAGGCTTGGGCGTAGCTCAGCAGTAGGATTGATAGCTGAGCATACCTGCAGCCCTGGACCAGATCCCAGACACTGCAAATAAGTATAATAAAAATAACTGAATCTAGAGGCTGGAGAAGTGGCTCGGCGGTTAAGAGCACTGGCTGCTCTTCCAGAGGACCCGGGTTCAATTCCCAGCAACCACATGGCAGCTCACAACTGTCGGCAACTCCAGTTCCAGGGGACCTGAAATCCTCACACCGACACACATGCAGACCAAACACCAATGCACATAAAAATAAAAATACATAAAAATATAGATAGATAGATAGATAGATAGATAGATAGATAGATAGATAGATAGATAGATAGATAGATAGATGACAGATAATAAGGTAATAGAATCTGGAAGTAGCGAAAGACACATGAACCCTGGGTCTCTCGGTGACTTCCTCTGAGCTGGACTGCATGGGGACATGGGGCTTCCTGTGTGGAAATGGAGATACAACCCCGGGATTTAACTTTATGCAGGAACAGCCTTCTTGGGGCCAAAAGGGAGAAAATGGAGAAATTCAGACTCCTCTGCAAGACCATAATAATGAGGAGAAAAGAAACTTTGTTAGTGTAAAATATTCTGGGAACCATGGAGTATGGGGCTGAGGTGATCTAAAATGTCAGGAGGCTGGTGAACTAATTGGTAGACAAGAACAAGCTGGTCAGTGACTTCAGGCCTGTACAGGATCTCAGGCCAAGGAGAACCATGTGACCACAGCAGCCGGGCGCCTTTGTACTAAAAGCTAGCCTTATGGAGAAGCTCAGTGCACCGAGTCCTAGATGTAGGCTTTATTGATCAAACAATAGAAGTATTTTTAAATGTGAATCATGTCAAATTCTCTGCTAGAAATGCTGTAATGCTCTATAACCACTAAAGTGCAGAGAAATGGTTTTTGTTTTGTTTTGTGTTTTGAGACAGGGCCTATCTATGCAACAGGACCCTGGATGTCCTGGAACTCTCTGTGTAGACCAGGATGGCCTCAAACTCAAAGAGACCCACCTGTCTCTGCCTCCTGAGTGCTGGAATTAAAGACATACATTACTATATTTGGCTGAGAAACTGTTGTTGCCTGAGAACTCAACCAACTCTGGGGTATTATTAGCCACTAAATTGTTGCAAATATAAATTAAACCTGAGCAATCACATCTCATTTTAATTCAAATTCACAGTATTAACACAGTTTAGTGTATTTTCATTTGGTCATCTGAATTTATTTCTCCAAGCTGCCCATTTATATACTTAGCAGTCTCCTGTGAATTATTACTTTACTTCATTGATTTGTAATAACTCTTTACATATCAATGATGGTACAGAATAGGTAAGTAGGTAGACAGAAATTGCTATCCCAAGTTTTTCCTTGATTTGTCTATTTTATGTTTTGGTCTTCAATGTTATTCACGTCATTGCTCACAAACCGTTTTAGATTTTTAAACAATTATAGATGTCGTTTTTCATTATGACTTCTGAATTCTGTCATACTTTAAAAACTACCTCAAAATAGGAAAGTATTAGCACTAGTATCTTAATTATTCTACTTTTTATATTTATTATCTAATAAGATGTGCACTACATCTGTTGCAATGTAGTATTTGATGTTTTGTTTTGTTTTTATTGTTCATTTTGAGTTGCAGATTGAAACAAGAAATTCTCATTTTTTTGTTTTGTTTTGTTTGTTTGTTTGTTTGTTTGTTTGGGTTTTTTTGAGACAGAGTTTCTCTGTGTAGTTTTGGTACCTGTCCTGGATCTGGGTCTGTAGACCAGGCTGTCCTCAAATTCACAGAGATCTGCCTGCCTCTGCCTCCCAGAGTGCTGGGATTAAAGGCATGTGCCATCTCAAGAGGACTGCCTTCCTGCCCAGGTGAATTGTTTTCATGGTGGAGGGGGGTGTTATTGGGGTGTCTTGTGTCCTGAGAGGTTTTCAGTTTCCTGGCATCAAATCTAACTGTCACAGAAAGGTTAAGTTCTTGAGCCAAAACACACACAAAATCAGTGCAGAGATGTGGGGGTTTCTTCCGGCTTCTACTAGCCGTGAGAGCCTGAGGGTAGATGCTTCTCACTAAAAGCAGCTTCGAAGGGCCTGTTTCAAGAAGAGTTTCACAGGACTGACTTGGGCCGCCTGCTCTTTAGGCAAAAAGTCATGCTCACTTCATGATGCTTGTACATGTCTTATTCCAGGTGGCCTGAGACGTTTACCATTTAGATTTTAAAAATGAATGTTGACCACCAATTGAGGATATAAATAAACCCATTCTATGGATTTATCTTGCTTCCCAGTGTGTTTATGTTCTCTGATGTGAGTTTGAAGTCTATTGCATTCAGATTTGTTTAATTTTCTAAGCATTTGGTCACTCAGGACATATAATAACTGTAGCTGAAGTTTTCCTGTATCCACCCGGCTCCTGTAGCAGCTCAGACCCCAGTAAACACACAGAGACTTACGTTGCTTACCAACTGCATGGCCGTGGCAGGCTTCTTGCTATCTAGTTCTTACATCTTAAATTAACCCATTTCTATTAATCTGTAAGTTACCACGTGACTTGTAGCTTACCAGTACTTTTACATCTTGCTTCCTCTGTGTCTGGCCGGCGACTCCTGACTCAGCCTTCCTCTTCCCAGAATTCTCCTCTCTGCTTGTCCCGCCTATACTTCCTGCCTGGCTACTGGCGAATCAACATTTTATTTATTAACCATGGCTCAGTGGGTAAAAGCTCTTGCTGAGGTGGCTCTAATTTCAGCATTCCTACAGGCAGAAGGGAGGCAGAGGCAGGAGAACATTCTGGAAACTCGTGAGCAGAGAGGCCCTGCCTCAACAAAGTGGAAAGAGAAAACCATCTTCCAAAAATGTTCCTCTGATCTACACAGACACACACGTGTGCACACACAATATGTACACACATGAGTGTACAAATGATAATAATAAATAAATCATCTTTAAAAATAAAGTGAAAAACGACAATAACGCCTACTTTTCCTGAACTCCATAGGCATATTTAGTATCTAATGTGATGGTCATTGCTTGTATCTAAAAATATTGTTTTACGTATTCAGGAATTGCCCATCTCTTTCCATTTACTTTGAACTTCTACTGAGAATAGCTCCTAAACCAAGAGTCTCATTAATACACTATCCTTGCATTCTTTGAACAATCCCACTCAATTACATTCTCTTTACACAAATAACTGAATGCCCCCTACACTCACCTGATACATCCAACTCTGTATTATTTTAAGTGCATCACTTAAGATGTCTGAACCTATCCTCACAAGTAAGACTGCTCGTATTTCCTGTATATCTCCTCTGCTCTCACTGTGTTTAAGCTCCTGCAGGCACCGTGGGAATTAACTCAGTTCACAGCTCCACGCGATTCTCAGTCCACGTATGTGGTGCTTCACTCTGTGCATGCTCAGCCAGGCCTCACGGGATTCCCCAGATGGATTTGGGAGTTTTTGTTTCGACGTGGGGCGTTCATTTCTAGAGCTGTGAGCTGCAGCTTCTGGATCTGTCTGCCTCCAGCTTACTTCACACCTCAGCAAGGCTTTGTGTGGGTTTCTCCTCCACATTCATCTGCCTGAAAATTGCAATAAACCCAGAAGATCTGAGGGCTTTCTTCACCCATTCCTTTGCCCAGGAATGCCTCTTGCAGAGCCCGTTGTCCAAATCTAAAAAGAGCCATTCCATATGTCTTGTCCAGCGTTATTGCAGAAGGTTAACTCTGGTCCTTGTTACTCCTCCAAGATGGAAGTAGAAATCCTGGTTCCTTTTTTACGACAACAATTTTATATAATTGAACTTAAAGCTTTGCTTAGCTTTTAATATTTTGTCATTTCTTGAAGTAATATGTATAAATTTTATTTTCTTAAAAACCTATATTGCAACCTAGATTTTTTTTAATTAAAAAGGAATTATTTTATTTTATGTGCTTTGGTGTTTTGCCTGCACAAATGTCTGTGCCTTCAGAGAGCGTTGGATTCTCTGGGACTGGAGTCA